CATTCATCGCTATTCTAAATGCTCTTACAAAGGGAACAACTATGTCGGCTAGAATTATGTAGTGTGCACTGAGACGAGAACATCGCCAGTCCGTTCTTAATTTTAAAACGCTTTCATTCTGAATGAAATTATCCTGATTTTGATTCCAAAAAAAAGAGGTTACAAAACCATTCTAATGGATCATCGTAATAACTAAATGCCTCACCTCAGAGCTCGCAGTTAAACGAAAAACAATGCGACAATCTGCTAACATAAAAATGAGAACAAACAGTAGGGCTAATATTCCATAGCAAAGCACTATTAAAGAAATATCACAACAAAACAAGATACCAATTGAATGCGCAGGAGATTCGGCCGATTCAGAAGACGACGGGTAATAGTCTTCCATACGCGCTGTGAATATCTGATGAGAGACTTGCTGCGGGTTTGATTTACCGCAACAAGACAACTGAAGGTAAATATTTTGAAATTATTACTATGATAAATACTAACATCATGACGTTAATATCACGACATTTCTTCAACGACATCATCGCTAACATCTACTTGAATCGAAACAACCAAAAAAGACTGCTGAATACTAGAATCCATCGATAATATAGCATCAATAAAACTTGCTAACTTCAACCTATGAAGTTGCTTTTTCGGAAATGCTTGAGAAATCATGAAAGGCAATTCAAAGTTTTCATGAAAAGCTTGCATTTTTTTTACCAACAAGTTTTTCGATCCTGGCTGTAGATGAAAGAAGAATCAACGGTACGTTGAATTCATTTTGCAGTGACAGGTTAACACGCCTGCTGGACTCCCAACAAATAGTCCAACCCTCATTACGATCATTAAAGTTACCAAATAAGCCAAACCGAATTCGACCAGACGTTCCACTAACTTGCAACACAAATGAGAAGAAATGCGTATTCTAATTTTTCATAAAGCAACAAATTAATGAAACTTGTAACGTTTCCAAGGAAATTTCGTCTTTGAAATCAGCAACGATTTCATCTTATGTTTGCATCAAATTTCAGCAACCTGTTATTAATCAAATTACACGAACGCAACCGCTCCACAAACACCTGCGTCTGTACGTGTGACAATTCAGATTAACCATCCAACTGTACGGAGTAACTCTGTTTTCAAAGAACCTTAACATCTTTATTTGCATAGTCTATGAATACACTATTACAAATATAATGCCAACGAAAGTCTATGCAATTACATCCTCAAACACCAAACGGTAATCCACTCATATGTGAATCATCCAAGATCCAAAAATGTACGCTACAAGATGTCTTCAAATGAATAGTCAAATTCCCAAAAATAGCATTTCAAAGCGCTCGCTGACCGATCCGTATATTGAGTGCACAAGAAATGCCACTCTCCAAAACTTTTAGATATATGAATAAGAAAACTCCTCCTTCGGTAAACGTTTCATCGATCAGCTATACAACCAATCAGCTATACAAACCAAACGCTACCAGTCTCAACTTTAATTGAAAACAACTTTCTTCTTAATACTAAGAAAGTATAAACTCACAAATGAACGACTAACTACTAACGGGACGGAGGAATAATTCCGCTGTCAGTGACACTATGAAACACAGCTTGAAATATCGATAAACCTTCTGAATACCATGTGCCGAGATGAAACACCGCCAATGCCACAGTGGAAGATATTTCGAACAGACTCGATAAAGAAAAAAAAATCCACTCGAAACGTTCACTACATAAACAGATTTGGTACGCAGATAAACTCATGATCAAATAAGATACAATGAATGACTTGCTGATAACGTGAATAAAGAACCGTGAGGCAATCTAATTATTTATTCAAATAAAGGTATTAACAATATTAATGTGCTAATATTGATAACGATAATAATAATAATAATCACAGGTTATCTATCTATACAAATATTCGGACTGAAGGTTTGCAGCCAATTCAGGCTCCCATCGATCTCCATTCAAAAGCAATTTCTCTTTGTTGTACAGCAATTCTTCATGTGTTTCGGTTGAGAATTCAAAATTCGGGCCCTGCAATTAATCTTGTTAACACTTCATAAAGACATTGCTCGAACAGCAATTTTTTAATCAGCGCTCCACGAATACCAAGAGAATTCATTTTTTGCCTGAACAGCTAGAATGGAAACAAAATTTTGTCATAGTATATTTAAGGAAAAACAATATATCTTTACGAAAATTTAACATTTACTATCAACTAAAATCATCTAAAATCTACTATCAACTCTCACAAATCAACCAC